GGCTACCTGGCGTGGTGTGTGGCTACCTGGCGTGGTGTGTGGCTACCTGGCATGGTGCATGGTTACCTGGCATGGTACATGGCTACCTGGCACAGCGTGTGGCTACCTGGCAAGGCATATGGCTACCTGGCACGGCGTGTGGCTACCTGCCATGGTGTGTGGCTACCTGCCATGGTGCATGGTTACCTGGCATGGTACATGGCTACCTGGCACGGTGTGTGGCTACCTGCCATGGTGTGTGGCTACCTGCCACGGTGCATGGTTACCTGGCATGGTACATGGCTACCTGGCACGGCGTGTGGCTACCTGCCATGGTGTGTGGCTACCTGCCACGGTGCATGGTTACCTGGCATGGTGCATGGCTACCTGGCACGGCGTGTGGCTACCTGCCATGGTGTGTGGCTACCTGCCATGGTGCATGGTTACCTGGCATGGTACATGGCTACCTGGCACGGCGTGTGGCTAGCTGGCACAGTGCACGGCTACCCGGTGTGGTATGTGGCTACCCAGCATGGTACATGGCTACCTGGCATGGTACGTGGCAACCTGGCGTGGTGTGTGGCTCCCTGACACAATGCATGCCTACATGGCATGGTGTGTGGCTAGCTGACATGGTGCATGGCTACCTGGTGTCATATGTGGCTACCTGGTGTTGTGAGTAGCTACTTGGCACAATGTGTGGCTACCTGGCTATGCTACATGGCTAGCTGGCATGGTGTGCAACTACCTGGCGTGGTGTGTGTCTACCTGGCACAGTACATGGCTACCTGGCATGGTGTGTGGCTACCTGGTGTGGTACATGGCTACCTGGCATAATATGTGGCTACTTGGCATAGTACATGACTACCTGCCGTGGTACATGGCTACCTGGCATGGTGTGTGGCTACCTGGTGTGGTATATGGCTACTTGACACAATGCATGCCTACCTGGTGGGGTACATGGCTACCTGGCATGATGTGTGGCTACTTGGTGTAGTACATGCCTACCTGCCATGGTACATGGCTACCTGGCATGGTATGTGGCTATGTGACGTGGTGTGTGGCTACATGCTGTGGTATATGGCAACCTGCCGTGGTATGTGGCAACTTGGCATGGTGCATGGCTGCCTGGTGTGGTGTGTGTCTACCTGTCATGTATGTGGCTACCTGGTGTGGTACGTGGCTACCTGACACAATGCATGGCTACCTGGCATGGTACATAGCTACCTGGTGTGGTGCGTGGCTATATGATGTGGTATATGGCTACTTGGGGTGGTACATGGCTACCTGGCATGGTGTGTGTCTACCTGGCATGGTGCGTGGCTACCCAGCATGGTACATGGCTACTTGGTGTGGTGCGTGGCTACCTGGCATGGTACGTGGCTACTTGGCATGGTACATGGCTACTTGGAGTGGTGTGTGGCTAAATGCTGTGGTATATGGCTACCTGGCGTGGTACATGGCTACTTGGCATGGTGTGTGGCTACCTGGCATGGTACGTGGCTACTTGGCATGGTATGTGGCTACTTGGTGTGATACATGGCTACTTGGTGTGGTACATGGCTACTTGGTGTGGTACATGGCTACCTGGTGTGGTACATGGCTACTTGGCGTGGTGCGTGGCTACTTGGCGTGGTACGTGGCTACTTGGTCTTATGCGTGGCTACTTGGTGTGGTACATGGCTACTTGCCGTGGTGTGTGGCTACCTGGCATGGTACGTGGCTACCCGGCGTGGTACATGGCTACTTGGTGTGGTGCGTGGCTACTTGCCGTGGTGCGTGGCTACCTGGCGTGGTACATGGCTACCTGGTGTGGTACATGGCTACTTGGCGTGGTGCGTGGCTACTTGGCGTGGTACGTGGCTACTTGGTCTTATGAGTGGCTACTTGGTGTGGTACATGGCTACTTGCCGTGGTGTGTGGCTACCTGGCATGGATACGTGGCTACCCAGCGTGGTACATGGCTACTTGGTGTGGTGCGTGGCTACTTGGTGTGATACATGGCTACTTGGTGTGGTACATGGCTACTTGGCGTGGTGCGTGGCTACCTGGCGTGGTACATGGCTACTTGGTGTGGTACGTGGCTACTTGGTGTGGTACGTGGCTACCTGGCGTGGTACGTGGCTACTTGGTGTGGTACGTGGCTACCTGGCGTGGTACGTGGCTACTTGGTGTGGTACGTGGCTACCTGGCGTGGTACATGGCTACTTGGCGTGGTGCGTGGCTACCTGGCGTGGCAGAGGGGCTATCGGGCACAGCGTGCCGGCGGGAGCCGTGCCCGTGGCCACTGGAACGGGGCCAGCTGGGCGAGTGGGGGTGTTCCCCAGGGAGGTGCTCGGGGTGGGGCGGGCGGGGGTGCCCGTGGGGGTGTCACCCGTGGGGTGCGCAGCACCCTCTGGGGGGTGGGAGCGCCCTCAGTGGGTGAGCGCCCACGCTGGGGGGGGTTTTGGGGTGCCCGGTGGGGGGGGAGGGGCTGCTGGGGTGCTGAGTGGCCCGAGGGGTGCAGGGTGCTGCCTGGGGGGTGCAGGGTGCTGATTGGGGGTTTGGGGTGCTGTCTGGGGGGTGCAGTGTCCTGTCTGGGGGGTGCAGGGTGCTGTCTGGGGGTGCAGGGTGCTGTTTGGGGGTTTGGGGTGCTGTCTGGGGGGTGCAGTGTCCTGTCTGGGGGGTGCAGGGTGCTGTCTGGGGGTGCAGGGTGCTGTCTGGGGGTTTGGGGTGCTGTCTGGGGGGTGCAGTGTCCTGTCTGGGGGGTGCAGGGTGCTCTCTGGGGTGCAGGTGCTGTCTGGGGGTGCAGGGTCCTGTCTGGGGGGTGCAGGGTGCTGTCTGGGGGTTGCAGGGCAGTTTGTGGGGTGCAGGGTGCTGCCTGTGGGGTGCAGAGAGGCCTGTGGGGTGCAGGGTGCTGTTTGGGGTGCAGGGTGCTGTCTGGGGGTACAGGGTGCTGCCTGGGGGGTGCAGAGGGGCCTGGGAGGATGCAGGGTGCTGTTTGGGGGTGCAGGGTGCTGTCTGGGGTGCAGGGTGCTGTTTGGGGGTTTGGGGTGCTGTCTGGGAGTGCGGGGTCCTGTCTGGGGGGTGCAGGGTGCTGTCTGGGGTGCAGGGCAGTTTGTGGGGTGCAGGGTGCTGCCTGTGGGGTGCAGAGAGGCCTGTGGGGTGCAGGGTGCTGTTTGGGGGTGCAGGGTGCTGTCTGGGGGGTGCAGAGGGGCCTGGGGGATGCAGGGTGCTGTTTGGGGGTGCAGGGTGCTGTCTGGGGTGCAGGGTGCTGTTTGGGGGTTTGGGGTGCTGTCTGGGAGTGCGGGGTCCTGTCTGGCGGGTGCAGGGTGCTGTCTGGGGTGCAGGGCAGTTTGTGGGGTGCAGGGTGCTGCCTGTGGGGTGCAGAGAGGCCTGTGGGGTGCAGGGTGCTGTCTGGGGGGGTGCAGGGTGCTGTTTGGGGGTTTGGGGTGCTGTCTGGGAGTGCGGGGTGCTGTCTGGCGGGTGCAGGGTGCTGTCTGGGGTGCAGGGCAGTTTGTGGGGTGCAGGGTGCTGCCTGTGGGGTGCAGAGAGGCCTGTGGGGTGCAGGGTGCTGTCTGGGGGGGTGTAGGGTGCTGTTTGGGGGTTTGGGGTGCTGTCTGGGGGGTGCAGGGTGCTGTCTGGGGGGTGCAGGGTGCTGTCTGGGGTGCAGGGCAGTTTGTGGGGTGCAGGGTGCTGCCTGTGGGGTGCAGAGAGGCCTGTGGGGTGCAGGGTGCTGTTTGGGGGTGCAGGGTGCTGTCTGGGGGGGGTGCAGGGTGCTGTCTGGGGGGTGCAGAGGGGGCTGTGGGTGCGGGGTGCTGTCTGGGGGTGCAGGGTGCTGCCCCAGGGGCACGGCCTGCCTATAGGTGCTGGCAGGGGGTGCCTATAGCCAGGGGATGCCCACGCCGTGTCACCTATAGGATACGCGGTGTCACCTATGGGGGGGATGCGGGGGGGGGGGGGCTGCCCGAGGGCGGGGCGATGGGGACCGAGGGGGCCCGTGCCCGCGGGGTGCGGGTGCTGGGGGTGCTGGGGGGGGGGGTGGGTGCTGGGGGGGGGTGCAGATAAGAGTGAATGGGGTGCACGTGCTGCTCGAGACCGTGCACGTGCTGCCCGGGGTGGGTGGGGGTGCCCGGTGGTGCGGGGGGCGCGGTGACACCTTTGGGGTGCGGGGCCAGGCCCGGCGTAGGTCCCCCCGCGTTACCGGAGGGGAAGCGGGAGCTCTGCCCCGGGGTGGGAGGTGGGGAGGTGCCCGGTGCTGCCGGGGGTGCGGGCGGGGGGGGGGGGTGTGGGGTGTCCCCGCTGGGGCCGGGGGTCGCCGCCGCTGCCCCCCCCCCCCCCCCCCCCGCCATTCACACCCCCCCCCCCCCCGCCCTATGCAGGTTCCGGGGTGCCGCGGGGCGGGGGCAGCCCGGCAGCCGCCCCACGTGGCCGGGTCCGAGCCAGCCAATGAGGACGCGTGTTTCTGAAAGATCTCCATATATGGCGATGTTCTCGGCAGGGTGGGTGGGGCCGACGCCCCCTGGGTATAAAAGCGCGGGGCTGGGAACCGGACGGTCTCACTCAGCCGGCGGCAGCGAACCAGGCGGCACCGTCTCCCTCAGCGCCGAGAGCAGCCTCCCCCGCACAGGTACCGGCACCGGCCCCGCGACCCCGGCGGGCGGGGCCGCCGCCCCCTTCGCCTCCGGTCCCCGGTGGGGTGTTGGGGGGGGGGGGGGGGGGGGGGGCTGTGTCCTGGCTGGGGTGGGCTGTGGCCACGTATCTCCTATTTTCTTCCCCCCCCCCCCCCTTCCCCCCCCCACTGTACTGGAATGGTCTCACCCGTCCGAGCGGGCGTGTGGGGGGGACGCGACGCGATTGGCGGCGGCGGCGGGTGACGTCAGGGCGCGGGAGATTCAAACAGGGAAGGGCGGGGGGGGGGGGGGCGTGTTTTTTAATTAATTTGAGGGGGGGGTGGGGGGGGGGGCGCGGCCTCCGCCTCCCGGTGCGAACTCGCTGACCGGGCCCCCCCCCCCCCCCCCGCCGTTCCGCATCCACCGCAGAGCCTCCGCCATGGAAGAGGAGATCGCCGCCCTCGTCATCGACAACGGCTCCGGGATGTGTAAGGCCGGTTTCGCCGGGGACGACGCTCCCCGCGCCGTTTTTTCCTTCCATCGTCGGTCGCCCCCGGCACCAGGTAGGCGGGGGGGGGGGTGTGATGGATTTGGGGGCGGGGGGGGCCAGGGGGGTGCTGCCGGCGGGTGCTGACTCAGCTTTGGGCTTCCCAGGGCGTGATGGTGGGGATGGGGCAGAAGGACAGCTACGTGGGGGACGAGGCGCAGAGCAAGAGGGGGATCCTCACCCTGAAGTACCCCATCGAGCACGGCATCGTCACCAACTGGGACGACATGGAGAAGATCTGGCACCACACTTTCTACAACGAGCTGCGGGTGGCTCCCGAGGAGCACCCCGTGCTGCTCACAGAGGCTCCCCTCAACCCTAAGGCCAACAGAGAGAAGATGACGCAGGTACCGTCCCTCGCCCGGGGGCTGCCCCTTGATTCTGTCTTGCTCACAAACCTCCTTTTGTTAAGGCATCTTAAACCTAAGTTTGTTTTCTTTTTTTTTTTTTTTTTGTTTTTTCTCCCGACATTTTCAGGGTTCTGTACTCCTGGCATTTCTTCCTTGACGCCTCAGGTTTCTTTCATTTGTGTTTTCTGCCTGCATTCTTTGCTTTTTCCTTCACACACCAGTTGTTTTTTCGATTATTTTTTCTTTTTTTGCATGTCAGCATGCGTGTTCTAATGTGGGTGCGAGTGACCCCGCTCGTGACTTGGCGCTAACTGACTTCTTTTCTTTTTGGCGTTTACCCCTTTTTCTCTCCAGATCATGTTTGAGACCTTCAACACCCCAGCCATGTATGTGGCCATCCAGGCTGTGCTGTCCCTGTACGCCTCCGGTCGCACCACTGGTATTGTTATGGACTCTGGGGACGGTGTCACCCACACCGTGCCCATCTACGAGGGTTATGCTCTGCCCCACGCCATCCTGCGCCTGGACTTGGCTGGCCGTGACCTGACAGACTACCTCATGAAGATCCTGACAGAAAGAGGCTACAGCTTCACCACCACAGCCGAAAGGGAAATTGTCCGTGACATAAAAGAAAAGCTGTGCTACGTCGCCCTGGACTTCGAGCAGGAGATGGCCACCGCTGCCTCTTCTTCCTCCCTGGAGAAGAGCTACGAGCTGCCCGACGGCCAGGTGATCACCATCGGCAACGAGAGGTTCAGGTGTCCAGAAGCCCTTTTCCAGCCTTCCTTCCTGGGTAGGTGTGGGCCAGGGCGGTGCCTCGGCGCTGTGGGGTTGGTGTCACCCAAAGCGGGGTTGCTGACGAGCCCGCCCCCCCCCCCCTCTCCTCCTCCCCTTTCCCCCAGGCATGGAATCCTGCGGCATTCATGAGACCACTTTCAACTCCATCATGAAGTGTGACGTGGACATCAGGAAGGACCTGTATGCCAACACCGTCTTGTCCGGAGGCACCACCATGTACCCCGGCATCGCTGACAGGATGCAGAAGGAGATCACAGCCCTGGCGCCCAGCACGATGAAGATCAAGGTAAGAAAAAAAAAAAAAACCCAGCTCCTTCATCCCCCCCCTCCCCGGGGTGGGCGAAGGCCACCCTCGGCCCTGACGCCTCGCCGCTCTCCTCTTGCAGATCATCGCTCCCCCCGAGCGCAAATACTCGGTTTGGATCGGCGGCTCCATCCTGGCCTCGCTCTCCACCTTCCAGCAGATGTGGATCAGCAAGCAGGAGTACGACGAGTCCGGCCCGTCCATCGTTCACCGTAAATGTTTCTAAACGGACTGCCGGCGGGCGCCCCGCGCCTGCTGCATGAGTTTGTCTCACTTATAGTGTATGTTTGCCCAGGCAAATCTATACACCTCGTGCTAGCCTCATAAAACTGGAATAAGCCTTCTTTCAAAAGAAACTTACCCTTGGAAAAGTCTGTATCTGATGTTAGACACATGTCAGCACTGGATGCTCCGAGCTCTCACTTGAATTTGACCTTGTTTATTCCCAGTTTTGAACCGTTTTTTCCCTCGCTCTACACCCCGAGCGAAATACCCTGTACGGCTCGGCCGGTGCGGCGCCGTGCCCCCTGCCCGCCCGCCGCGGGCGCGTACAGGGTATTGGGAGCCAGACTTTGCCGTACATCCAGTGTGGAATATTCCAGATTTTCCCGTAGAGGCTGGTAGGAGTCCATCGAGAATTCACTTCTGTCGCTGCCGTTCTAGCAAGGTTGGGAACACATATCGCATCCGAGCCTTACGAACCAGTTCTTCATCCTCCCCTCCCTGTTCTCCCAGGCGCCATCACGGGGCTGAAGTTCCTCAACTTTTGAGTTGCTGAAACTTTGCATTTACACCTGTAAATTTATGCATCGTTTTAATTTATGTCAGATTTTTTTTTTTTTTTTTGTACGTTGCCTTAATGTTCTCACATGACGGTAGGAAACCAAAATTTGTAAGTCATCCTAAAGTTGAGAAATTGTAATGCCCAACAACCACATCATGGTGTAAGGAAAATAAAAAAAACAAAAAAACAAAAACAGTGCTCCTGTGACGTTCTGGTGGTGGTGGTGGGGGGGGGCTGTGGGTCCCAAGACGGAACTGAGCTGGAGCTGCGGTGCCACTTTGGGGCTAAAAAGGGCTGTATTGGTGCCAAAGAAGGGGAGGGGTGGGGTAGGGGTTCCTGGCTGGTGCTGCTGGGGAGCGACCCCCCCCCCCCTTGACCTGGCCACTGCAGCTCTGCCCTGGATTCTGAGGGGAGGGACAAATACACACCCCGACCCCCCCCCCCCCCAATTAATTAAAGTGCAATTAATCCCTCGCAGCTCCCCACCCTGCCAAAAGCCTGCGGGGGTGGGGGGGAAATGGGACAGACCCCCCCCCCTCACACCTCTCCGCTGATTTGGGGGTGCAGGATGAGTCCCCCGCGGCCACCCACCCCGCAGCACCTGTGCTCGCCCCCCCCCCCCCCCCGCGCCCCCCAGCTGTCCGCCCGTCTGTCTGTCTGTCTGTCCAGCCCTCTGCGCCCCCATCTGCCTGCCCGGCCCTCCCCGCACCTGTCCGCCCGGCCATCTGTCCGTCCCGCCCTGCGGCTGGCTGGCTGTCCACATCCCCCCGCACCCGCCTGTCCATCCGTCCGTCTGTCCGTCCCCCCCATCCGTTCCCCCCCCCCCCCCATCCTGCCGCCCTTTGTCCGTCGGTCCCCGGGTCCGTCGGTCGCGCCCTGCCCCGGCCCGGCCGCCAGGGGGCAGCACCGCCCCGCCGCTCCGCCGCGCGAACACGAGTTTGCGCGGCCTCAGCTCCGCGGGAGGGGGGGGGGGGAGCGGTGGGAAGGGGGGGGGGGCCCTTACAACCCCCCCCCCGGTGTGTTTCCCCCCCCCCCCTCCGCAGCTGCCGGCGGGAGGGAAAGGGTTAACGGTACCCGGGTGCGGAGAACAAAAGGGCTCCCCGCCAGCCAATGGGCGCCGGGCTCCGCAAGGCCGCACCCGCGGGTTGGCTGCGGCGCGGCCAATGGCGTGCGAGCTCCTCCGGCCCGTCGGGCCCCACGTGGGGCGGGAGCGCACTGGCCCCGCCCCTCCCACCCCCTGATGGGGACCGGCCCCGAGAGCGTCCCCGCTGCCCGTACCCCCCCCCGCCTCCCTGTACCCCCCCTGCACCCCCCCCCCTGCAACCCCCCCCCCGCCTGCAACCCCCCCACTGCTCCCTGCACCCCCCCTGCACCCCCCCCGACTGCACCCCCCCCGCCTGCAACCCCCCCACTGCCTCCCTGCACCCCCCTGCACCCCCCCCGACTGCACCCCCCCTGCCTGCAACCCCCCACTGCCTCCCTGCACCCCCCCCTGCACCCCCCCCGACTGCACCCCCCCCGCCTGCAACCCCCCCCCGCCTCCCTGTACCCCCCTGCACCCCCCGACTGCAACCCCCCCACTGCCTCCCTGCACCCCCCTGCACCCCCCCGCCTGCACCCCCACCCCCCCCGCCTGCAACCCCCCCCCCGCCTCCCTGTACCCCCCTGCACCCCCCCGCCTGCAACCCCCCCCCCGCCTCCCTGCACCCCCCTCACCTGCACCCCCCCTGCCTGCCCCCCCCTGCCTGCAACCCCCCCACTGCCTCCCTGCACCCCCCCCGCACCCCCCCAGCCTCCCCCCTGCACCCCCCCCGCCTGTATCTCCCCCCCTGCTCCGGGCCCCGGGGGGGGGGAAGCTGAGGCAGAACAGAGCTCAGAGCCGGCAACGGGTCATATTTATTCATAAGCCAAGTTATCAATAAAAAGTTCCATACTAAAAGGCCTTTACATAGAGTTTGCTGTTCATAAAACCTTTGTGTTTTTAATCCTTTTTTCCTTTTTTTTTAAATTTTTATCGTTGATTTTTTTGTTTTTTGTTTTTTTTTTTTTGTGTCGTCTTTTGTGATTTTTTTTTCTTTTTTTTTTTCTTTTTAAATTTTTTTTTTTTTTTTTTTTTTTTTTTTTTTAGTGTTTACACTGAAAGCCCCGCCGCCGCGCACGGCCTGTACACATTTACAGCGCGGAGGGGGGGGGGCGGCGGCAGGGCTCGGCGGGACGGGCCAGCGTCCGCCGGCACCGCGGCCACCCCGCTATTGCACTGGGGCCGGGCAGCGGCGGACCCCCCCCCCAACCCCCCCATCTCAGGGGGTTTGATGGGGGGGGGGGGGAGGGAAGCGCCGCTGGTGCTGAGGGGGGCACCGGGAGAGCCCCCCCCCCCCCCCCCCGCCCCGCGCCGCGCCACGCCGGGGCCGAGCCCCCCGCCCTGCCGCCGCGGCCCCCCTATATACAGAGCTCCCCCCCTGTCCTCGTCCCAGCCAGGCTGGGGAAACAGTGCACTGAAACGGAAACGCGACCCCCCCACCCCGCTTCCCGCCCCATATTATTATTATTTTTTGTGGTTTTTTATTTTTTTTTTTTCCGTTGTTGTTGAGTTGGTTGGGTAATTTTTTTTTTTGTTTGTTTGTTTTTTTTGTTTTGTTTTTTTTTTCTGTCCGTTTGTCTGTTTTCCATAAACTTCCCGGAAGAAATACAATATTTACACGCAAAATAAATAGAACAACACACCTGATTTCTGCTTTACCTGCTGGCAAACAGTCAGAGTACTAGGGAAAGTATGCTTGTAGGGGCACCCCCCCCCCGCCCTGCGCCCCCTCCGTGACGATGCCCCCCCAAAACTCACACACACCCCCCCCCCCCTCCTTCTCCAGCCACCCCTGGGCTTTGCATAATCGCAGGGAAGGAGCGCGGTGGTGGGAAGGGGATGGGGGTCCGTCCCTGTCCCCCCCCCGGGTGGGCACATTGTGGGGGGGGGGGGAGGGGGGGTCAGCAGAGGATGGGGACCCCGTCGGCGGTCACCAGGCGGCCCGTGGTGGGGTCGTAGGTGCCCGCCAGGTAGTAAAGGTCCTGCCGGTCCTGGTACTTCTTGCTGCGGGTCATCTGCTCGTAGTGCTCCCGTCCCACCACCTGCACTTGTGGGAGATGGTCTGCACGTCGTTCTCGTCCTCGTGGCACGACTGGTACAGGGCGTTCTGCCGGGATAGGGGGGGGGGACACACAGCGCCGTGTCACCCAAACACACCCCACCACCCCCCCCCCCACCCCCCCCCCCAAAGCAGCCCGCCCTCTCTCACCTTGCCGTCGCTCTGCCGCTTGCCCAGCTTGGTCTCCTCCGGTGGTAGAACCACTTGACCTTGACCACCATGTTGCTGCCCCAGACTCCACATGCTCTCGATGCGCCCGATGTAGGGCAGGTGGGCCGCCCGGCCGAGAGGAAGACGCGCAGTCCCCGACGCGCAGCGTCTCCTTGCCCCACGATCGCCTTGTAGAACAGCTTCCGCCCTTCCCCTTCATGCCCGCCGCTGCGGGGGGGGGGGAAACAGGGGAATGTTGGGGGGTCAGGGGTAGCGCACGGACCCCCAACAAACACCACCCCCGGATGAGACACCAACCCACTGGCACCCAGGGAACGCAGCGCTGGGTTGGGTGGGATGGGGCCCGCAGCGCCCAAGTGTGAGCAGCACCCTTCCCCGGGCACCCATCCAGCCCCGGCGCTGAGCACCCAGGCGCTGTGCCCCGTGCATGCAAGGACGCTGCCCTGCAACCCCTTGCAGGCACGCACCCTGCCCCACGCACCACAGCACCCACACACCCTGCTCGGTACCCCGCCCCCCCCCCCCCCCAGCGCTCTGCCGTGCCCGTGCACCCTGCATCCATGCACCCATGCACCCTGCACCCATGCATCCTGCACCCAGGCACCCATGCACCCTGCACCCAGGCACCCATGCACCCTGCACCCATGCACCCTGCACCCAGGCACCCATGCACCCTGCACCCATGCACTCTGCACCCAGGCACCCATGCACCCTGCACCATGCACCCTGCACCCAGGCATTCTGCACCCAGGCACCCATGCACTCTGCACCCAGGCACCCATGCACCCTGCGCCCAGGCACCTGCACCCATTCATCCTGCACCCAGGCACCATGCACCCTGCACCAGGCACCCATGCACCCTGCACCAGCACTCTGCACCCAGGCACCCATGCACCCTGCACCCAGGCACCCATGCACCCTGCACCCATGCACTC